GAGCTATATCTATGACTTTGGTTCTCTATCGGATCCGGTGGACTAATTGTATCGTGAGTGTTCATGGTTCGGCTCCCTATGTCATAACAGGTTGAAAATCTTTATTTTATTAAACTGTGGTAATCTATTTCTGATGTTATATTTGGAACGGAGTATTTGTTTCTTATTTGTCGTTCATCTTCTTTCAGCGTTGCAAGAATTTTGCGATACTTATTTAATATTTGATCTTTGCGAACATAATCTTTGTACACCTTTTTATTAGATTCAATGTCTCATACACATTGATGATGTTAAAATTTCAACAACAAGCGGCTGTTTGTATAAGATTGGCAGTTTGTTAGCTTTATTAAATGTACGGAGTGTTAACACTATTTGTGAACCATTAATATAAACAGGTTTCGTATCATTTTTGTAAACTTTCAGGCATGGAGCGTCTCGCCGGATTTTTCTTCTTTCTCACTTACAATGCCTCAATTTTAGTAACGTACAAAGGTCTGAATCACATTGTTTTTTTAGCATTCGGTATTAGAAAGAATTAACACAATAATTTACCATATTTAACCGTATTAATGTTCAGAGTGACACGACAAATTTGCACGGCAAACCAAGCAAAGTAGATAGAAGTTGGTAGGCTTGACATACGTGACAGACATGCCTACGAGGTACGATAGTGATAACTTTACTGCAACAGTGTGATTGTTATGAAAGATACTTTCCATTCTTAACACAAATATAAAACTTAGATAAATTCTTGATTTTTTACACGCACCTTTATTTGGCTTCGAACAAAGTATTTGTCAATTTTTTTCCTTTAGTTTCTGGTAAAAAGCAGCATACTACTACATTAATGAGACACAAAACACTAAAAATAGTCGGTGGGAGCCACAACACGGCATTGAGTCCCACAATAAATGGCGCTAGTGACGAGCCTATTCTCGAAGAGGTCGAAGAGGCACCCATAGCCATGTTTCGCGCTACAGTTGGGAATAACTCCGTTGTAAAGACGTATCTGTGAATACAGGAGGAATATGAGCAAACATGTAGCACAAAAATGGAAATAAAAATAAAGTTCACAGTTTGCTTGTGGTATATTGCACTCACAAAGCAGTAAAAGCTCCTGCGCCGAAGTTGACACCGAGAGTCCCCGCAGCTAGTCTTGTATAAAACCAATCGTCAGGCAGAGCTAGAACACCGCAGCAAATCGCGTTTAATACAAGGAAGCCGACTGCGGTGGAACGACGACCGTGTCGCTTGTACATGTATCCGGAAAACATAACAATGGGAATCTGAAAAAGATGGAAACAAACTTAATAACTTTCGGTAATCTTAGGATTTCCGAATATACCCGAATACTTTCCATATCTAATAATTATTAGACACCTAATTTATCGTCTATAATAAATTGAATTCAGAATGAGTAAACTATATAGAGCTGTGAAACTATTTATCGTTTTGTAATAACATTTATTTATTCCCAACAATATACCAAGCAAGTTGTCAAAAGCACAAACTAAAATAAAGAGTAGTATCTACATCATCTGCATCAAGTGCAAAGGGCTACTAATTGAAATCTGACGACAGCCGAAACACGAAGTTTGCCGACAGGCATAAAGAAAGTAGTTGTACTGTATTTGGGATGTCGCCATATACTCTACCTTTAATACACCAATCAGTGGCATCGTAAGAAATACGTTTGAACTGGTTTGGCCGACATACTGATTACAACCATAATATATCGCTCCCAGTAGCATCCAAGAAATACAGGAGCACATGTTCTTTGTCCTCAAATTTGGAAGAGTCAATAAATCCCAGTATGTTGCCTTCTTTTGCACAAGTTCCACTTTCGCTTCTTTAGCGACCATTTTGGCCGTACTTAGCATGTCTCCGGTTGACAGTTTGTTACTAGAATCGAGGAAGAAATTATTGTGATTGCTTAAATTATTTTACGGTAGCATTATGAAACCATTCTCACCATTTTGCAATTTTTGTCATAACGACACTGGCATCATTAAGACGTCCAATCGAAATCAACCATTTCGGGGATTCTGGTAGAATAAAGAAGTACAACAAATATAATATATTTGGTATAGCGATAGCCGTGCTGAATGTATCCCAATTCCTCAAATAGTAACCCAACACAGGCAATGCTATTTCTCCAATAGCAAGTGGTATATGGAATAAACTAGTTGCTAATTCTATATGGGAAGGGCCAGTGACTTCAAGAAGCATGACGAAAGAGCATATCATGTTGCCAGCAGTAGCGATGCCCAGAATGAACCTCAGGACTGCGAATGCCCAGAACTCTGAACACAATGCTATGACGAAGCTTGAGAGAAGTTGCAACATGCAAGCCGCCAGATTCGCAGGACGTCGACCAAATCTACAAAGAATATTAGTCGTGGCTGTAGTTGTTTGTTTTAAGCCGGTACATTGTTCTAAATGCAGAAATCTAAATAAATAGACACCAGAAGTGTAAACAAAGCTTCTTTCTTCAAAAACGGGTGTCGCCACATAGTTGTCTATGGTCGACACTTGACATTGCGTCTTTTATTAAAAATTCTTAAGAAACGTAAATGATGTATAATTAAATTTTAAATCTTTTAAAGATTTATTTAATTTGATCATTTTTTTTTATTGTTTAAAAACATATAACATGTTATGTTATTATAACAATGGTAGATAAGATAAATTCACATAATTTGTTGTACGCACAAAACATTAATGTCGATAATTTATCAAAATAAAAAGTTTGCAGTTACTCGCATCACTAGCTCACAACTCACCATACATATTTGACAGTTTAATGGCATCTTCACATTGACGACAACACGAAGAAGCTGATTCTCATAGTGAATCATTTTATTTTAATAAAAACAGCGTTTTTACTTGAACATAAATTAATGGTGAAATGTCATTCCCTTGTTGTGGAAAAGTTTCCGCTGCAAAACACCATTTTTACACACCGTTTCACTTCTGAAGTTTCGAGCAATACTGAATGATAGCTCCTCGTATTGATGTCGCAAGCGACACCAGTGCAGCGACAATGTCACCTTGGGTACGCGACTTCTAATCCATGTTTTTTAGATTTCTGTGGTTCTAAATTATGATTTCTTCACTTACCTATCTGATATGTATCCGAAAACTATACCACCGACCAAAATACCGCACATGTTCAAGGTTTGTACCAGGTTAGCAAGCCACGCTCTATCGCACACTAAATCCCATTCCGAAATAATAGTGTTTTCGAATTGGCTGTAGTATTGGTACTGTATACAGTCGCTGTAGCATGTTGAATTCTCAATAACATCCGTAAGGTTTGTGTCTATGCAACGGAATGTTGTGTGCGGTGCCAAAAATATTATTCCCAGTAATGCTGTGTACGAACTGAACTTTACAGGAAGTACCACAAGTAAGAAGAAGACGACGTGCCATCGTCCAAAACTACCAATTCTCTCGCTAATAATGTCCCCAATTTTCTTGCCTGTTGCTTCGTCGCCGCGATCATTTTCTTTTTCAATTATCATTATAAACCAGACGACGCGTATCGTACTGCAATTACTTACTGTACTTTTTACTGTGAAGGTTAACAATAGTCTGTAAAATATTATCATGGCATAAAACATATGTAAACATTCTATCGTTTATTCAGTTAAATTGCTATAATAAAGAATTTTGTAGTATAAAGGTTTTGTTTCGCTATAGGTAATTTGGAACCTCGAAATTTTTAATATCAAACGGAATCTGCAATCAAAATTTAACCCACGTTGCAAAAATACACGCTGCCTTGTAAACAACGTAATTGACATTTTTAAAAGAAAAAAAAAAACTTTAGGTGCCATGAAAGCTACCTAAATGCAAATGCATTGTTTATGATAAGGGGGTAGTACGTATGACACGACGACGGTATCTTTATCTGTCTTGGCAATAGCGACAGCCCCCATATCTCTCTACATTAGTTTTGATTATAGCGTCTCTCCCTACCGAAACTTAGGGTATACGAGAAGAGCGCTGCAGGGACCATCGATGTCAGGTCCTAACCCCAGACTCCGGAGCCTGCATTGCACGGCCTCACTCGTCTGGGGCGCGGGTCGGAGGACAACCGACTCGCCCCTCCGTTGGCGCGGGAGCCCTGGCGTAAGCTAGGGCGGCCGGGCGGCGTCGTGGTGAATGTTCACTGATCCCACGGCGCCGACTCAACCGGCGAGAGGGAAACCCGGGGGGGTTTTAGTGGGGTAGGCCCTCAGAGTCCCCACATAATCCCTGAGTCTCCCTGGGCTCAGGGGTATCCATAAAGATTTCCCCCCGTAAAAAAAAAAAAGGTCCTAACCCCAGACCAGGCCTATTTCACGGACTTCATCCGGTTCTCTTTGTAAGGCTAGTGCCTTAGCTGAGCCGCAACAGGTGCACGTACAGCTCCCTCCCGATTTTATAGATAGCAGATCTACCACTGAGCCGTCAACTCTAAGTCGACTATCAAACCTCCTCATTGGTGGCAGAGCTGTAAGGCACGCTCACTGCCCGACGCCGAAGGAACAGCGCCTCACCAGTTTCCAAATTTCTACGCGACTGGAGGGACCGGAGATGTTGGTAGCAGTATCATGCGAAAATGTCCGGGCATAGTTAACAACTTAAAGGGCAACTCATGTGCACCGCGCGTCTCTTCGCCATTAGGCCCTCGTTGAGACCACTACTAAGACGCGCTAGCTAAGCACGGGACGAACGCTCGGTCCAAATGCAACCGGGGCAGATGAACCTGTTCATCCCTGTTGCTAACCACAAAACTCGGCGAGTCCGTATCCAAGTCTGGGTCCGCTAGAGACGCTCGTGAAGGCGTATTATTGGCGGAAGACTGGACCCGGAGGCCCTACCCTGGTCTTACCAGGGAGACTTTACCTTCTTTACTGGGGAGCACGTAGTCCCCCGGAACTCCCTATATCTCGGGTGGGCAGATAGGGGCATGGCAATGGCGACAATAAAAAAAATCAAATGTTTGTCCACAGAGCATCCTGGGCGAGTTCAATCGTGAGCAATCGGAGTTCATCAAGGGCCAGGAGGGCCGCGGGGGCTCCGCCGCTGTCGCCCCGTGGGTCGGGGCGCACAACGAAGCCGCTCTCAAGGAAGAGTGTCTTTCGCTCTCTGTTGTAAGTATCACTTTGTTACATACTAGTTGGAATTGTGGTAACATATCAAGTTCGTTAGACAATTCTGCCATCTATCTGCCAAATAATAGTTCTTCTAGAAGAACAAAGTTTGGAAGACATCATTAGAGGTGTACAAGCATATGGATGCGATGGTTTGCAGGATCGGCGGAACTTCGTGCGCGCACCGCCCGCCGGCGTCGATTTCGACTTTGACTACGACAAGATGTACCCGGTGGCCGTCGCCATCATGGCCGAAGATCCCAACCTCGAGAAGATGCGCTTCGAACTCGTGCCGAAAGTGTAAGTTATTATCTTTAAATACTTCTTCAAGGTCGTGTCTGAAGCGTAGCACATTTAAACCGAGGTATCTTATCAAATTTAGAGGTATAATCGTTGTCATTATTTTGGCGCATGGTAAGGTGTTCAAGGCAATTTCACATTAAAAGACTCAAAAATCACAGTTCTAGTGTTAACGTTTGTTATATTGACATCAGTTACATTGACCTGATCCGCTACATTCATTGGCAATGCCACTATAATGCCACCATGCATTTAGCTTCGTTTAATGTTCTTTCAGCGTGAACGGCTGTCCTTTAGGCGGCTATCCTTCCCTAATTTTATATCGGTTGAAGATTTGAACCAACATTGGCCTAAGTCACACAAAAAAAACATACAGGACACTACCAGATTTCACACAGATGCACGCTCCTACTATATGCATACTCTATAAATAATGCTCTGTATGGAAACAGAAAACTCATTCGATAGACGGCAATAGCAATGAGCAGGCCAGTTGATAATTTTTTTCATAAAAATGACTTAAAAACGTGATATTTTTTATTAATACGTAATACAGAAATAATATTTTTTAAAGATGTTAAAAACGCGGCTGAAAGCCGTTCCGTTTCGTTGGCAATCGTCGTTAACAGCGAAGCTGCGGCCCCTTGAGACCGTCTCGCTTTTGTGGAATCTTACCGTAGTACAGCACTTTCGTCCTGTCGACGAACAATACCTAGTTCTCAGTACAATATCTATGATAAGGTACCTTAACGTGTCATCTGGTAATGCCTGCAATTAAATTAACAACCTCCTGCTAGAGATAGAGCGCGTTTGCATCCTCATTTGCGTAAGTGAATGTTCTGCTAACTCATTGTATTGTTACTGCCGCTGCTTGCGATGATTCCTCTTACGTTTATGACGCCCTGATAGCTGTCGAGATTTATTTTATCATCCGCAATTCGACGAATACGACAGTTGATACAAAACAAATGAGACACAAATCTTATTAGACCGTGTTGCTTGTTTTGGGACGCAAATACACAAACATATACCTACACGAACACATACATTTTTTAGTTATTTGGATTTAATTCCTTCATTATATCATGATGCCGAGGTAATTTGTAATTACCATATCACTCGCACCAACGAAAGTTAAAAAAAAATCGAAATTTTCGTTTAAAGAGTTGTATTTTAGCGCCCAAGAATTATTTATAAATGTAATTTACCAAGCGTAAATATGATTCATATAAAAATGACCAGCTGTTAATGCCGTGGTATATCTGCGACATGTGTATGTGTCTAACGTTTTTTGGAGAAAATTATCACACAATAAAAGTACAAGACCTACGACTGCAATCCACCAAAGATTTGCGAGGTACTAGACGGTGTGCGAGGAAAAAATCCAATAAGATTACTTCATTTTCTTAGCCTCCCTTAGCGCAGCCCTGGTGGAAAAGGGCTAGCGGTGTTAAGTATTTGTACATACAAAAAAGTGAGAGATGTGTGCGAGAGCATCGCCACACCACACTGCACCCCACACGCGCACAGCTGAAGAGTCCGCTGCTCATTCTCGCATCGTTCAGCTACACACTGTTTCACAGCTTCGCACGCTTACCTCGCGCAGCTTTGGTGGAAACCATCACACCGTTTCACAGCGCCGCTACACATCCACGCACCGCCTGGCAACCTCGCACATCTCTAGTGTAATCGCAGCTTAAATGTTAAGATTGATATTATACACCTAGAAAAAAACAGAAATTGCAACCAAGTGTAGATATTTCGCGCCTATAATTCTGACTTGTTTGACCTACTCTTGCTTTGCCCATGCGAATTTTATGACATTTAGGTACCTATTCGTTTAGAACGTAGCAGTTTAAATTATATATGTGACCATCATATTTATGGTCTTTTATTGAAGATGGAGTAAAATCACATTTTCAGGGTTGCCCGCTTTCGTGAAATTTTAAATAGTTATGTAGATGTCGACAATTTTATCGATAGATTGTGAAAGTAGGTAAAATTTTGCCAAAAATGTGTGAATTGTGAATGTCACGACGACGTTCTAATGATTACTAATGGCGTCATTGTATTCTTTATTCGTAATTTGGCTATTGGTCTATTGGTATCCAAATCAAGTCTTAGCCATATACATATAAATAATGACTTGCGGATTTGTTTATGTATATTAAATACAAATGAAAAACTTTAAAGTATGTCTCCTATGTGTATTTTTTATATACATACTGCTAAACTTGGAGTGTGTATGTATGAATTTTTTACAATTCAAATGACCGTCCCCTGCCGTTGGACGAATAATTGGTCGATGATGATTCAAATGAAACAAGTTCGGCTATTTAATTCATAAGTGTAGACGACATTCAGTCGATAGTCGATAGAATATGTAAAGACTGCAATCACTAGGTGCACACAAGCGGGCAACACTTTTACGCAATGAATTGTCATTTTACTCCATCTTCAAAAAAAGACAGACGAAGAACGCAAAAAGGGCTTGAATTATAATAACAACATTTATATGAACCACTCTGCTACAGAACGTTATATCCTTTTTTTTTATTAAACGTTCTAGTATATTGACATTGTCATCATAGTTCAACTTTTTTTTTGGCATTCCAAGAATAACAGATATACTATATCTGGCTATTTGACAACAGGCGGTTTCAATGCTATTTATACATGACAGTGAAGAAAACGCTGTTTTTTTTTTAAATGAACAGATTAAAAAAAAAGTTTTTGAACTCAGAAAGGTTGGCATTTCAACATTTAGAGGTAGTGTATGTACCAGATGGATTGGCCGAAAATTTTCTAATTGCCGACGATGGGGACACAGAGAAGATATTAAGTATTTGTCTCCAAATTGCCAAGAAAAATTATTCGGAACACTAAGAAAGCCTTCTATTATAGAGATGGCACGTTCAAATGTGTACCACGCCCACGTGGATTTAAACTCTAGTAAAAGTACAACTAACATCATCCCCATAACCTTTTGCCTAATAAAACCCAGGATACATACATGCGCCTCTTTACCATACTAAAAAATCAGCTGGGACTGAATATTAGACATTTTAAGTGCGATTACGAAGTGGCAGTTATGCAGACAGCGAAGTTTTTCCACAAGCCAAAGTTAGTGGTTACTTTTTCCATTACCAACAAGCAAGAAAAAATCAATAGAAATGGGACTGACCACAATTAGAGCAAACAGAAAAGTTATTCGCATGGTCGCTGTTATGCCGCTTCTACCACCACGATACATACCAGAAATTTGGCAATTTATTTACGGCATGATAGAACCATTGTCTTTAGAAATGAAACGTTTTCAAAATTATTTAACGTTAACGTCAACGTCACTGGACCACCAACGCTTTAGAAAGATGGCACCGACGGCTCAACGTTAAGATTCCAAAACGCCCAAGTTTATTTCATTTTATACACAAAATCAGAGGAGAGTCTAAGCATTTTGATATAATTATTAAGAAAAGTCTCTTTCAAAGTGGAAGGAAAGATAGAAAAAAAAGACGTGGTATTCGACAAAAAATATAAGCAAATAACATTGACTTACAAATAAATGGACGACGGGTCTAATACAAAAACCACGAAAAAAATGTCCCAAGTCAACCTATTCGAAATTTAAATTGTTATGTCATCGCAGTATCGCGCTGTCCGTAGAACAAATGAAGACTAAAGCGGAGTGTCGCGCTCTGTATACGATTTTAGCGCCTTACAAGTGCGGACACTTTTTAGCGCGGACCCGACGTTGGCAAATAATGTCAAGTTTACTGGAAAACGAGATTACAGTGGAGCAATTCTTAAAAAAATTTAATGTAAAATAAAACTTTTAATGTAAAATAGCAGTATTACAACTTTAACTTTATTTCTATAATAGCCGTTGTCTGGCACTCCGTCCGCATTACATTTTTTTGTACATACTATATTATACTAGGTACTACTGATTCATTTCTAAAGGTAATGGTTATATCATACCGTAAATAATTTGCCGTTCTTCCTTCATTAGACCTTACCGAAATATATTTGACACGAATACGAATATGATTTAGTATATGTACCAATTATATAACGATTTTATTTAGGAAGCTTGATTTTTAATTCTTAGTTTACCTACGCCTTATTTTATTATTCCGATAATAGGTAACTCGGCGAACAGTAAATTTTTTTAGAATAAGCCGTTTTGAGAATAGGTCCTATGTCTACTAAACCGGAATTTCCCTAATACAATCAATAATTTAAAGCAGCAGTAGAGCTCCACTAATCCTCCTTGTGAAAGCTATAATGCTCACATTACTGCGTTCCGGCTTAGAAGGGTAAGGGTGCTGGTGAAATTACAGGCACATGGGACTTGTCAACTTATGTCTCAGGTGACGGGCGCAGTGGCAGTGCCCCTCATATCTTTACGATTTAAAGCTCTATGTGGCTCTGCAACTGTTATGGGCAGGCGTGTAGCTTACCAACAGGCGCACGACTGGTTCGTCCGGTCACTTGATATTATACTCGTAAAATAAAAACAATGTGTAAATTAGTGAATTGACAAACAATTAGAAAAATGAGATATTTCTAGAATAAGTCTTTTTAAGAATAAGTCCTTTTAAGAATAAGTCTTTGTACGAATAAGTCTTAAGTAGAATAGGGTATTTCCCGAATAAGGCATTTTCAGAATGAGGCCTACCACGATTACGTCGTTTTACGACCATAGGTCATTTTGAGAATAGGTCCTTTGTCTACTAATGCTCGGTAACAATTTGTGGTCCATTTGCAACGCCCTAGCTTTCCAACTTACAACACGCCAGTGTGGGTTAGGGTCGATTGGATGAAGAATATATTTTTTCTTCTTAGTTTGCCGTTTCTCCACGAAGGTTGGCGACCATCATGGCTATTGTCATTTTTGAAGCTGCCGCACGAAAGGGGGAAGTTTTTCAGATTCTTCACCAACGAGGTTTTCCTTCTGCCAAGACTACGCTTTCCTTTGATTTCCCTCCGCATTATTAGTTGAAGAATCCTGTATCCATTGCCCCTCATTACGTGGCCAAAACACTGCAGCTTCCTTTTTTTTACAGTTCTGTATAATAGTGGCTGTAGAGCTCCTTGTGAAAGAGTTCGTCCAAGGAAGTACTGCCACCTAACTATTTCTGCCGTCAAACAGTAATGTCAGGTTTACTGTGTTCCGGTTTTGAAGCGTAAGGGTGCTGGTGAAATTACAGGCACTTGGAACTTGTCAACCATCAGCCGCATGACTTGTTCGACCCGTCCCTTGATATTATTATTAAAAAAAGAGTTTCCAACTTTGTTCCCATTCGACGAAGAACCTCAACATTGGCGACCTTTTGTACCCACGATATGCCAAGCATACGTCTGTACAACCACATCTCAAAGGACTCCAGTTTTGAGAATAATGCAATCAAGGTGGCACTCCATGCCAAACAGCAAGATACAGAATATATAACAGCGAATACTCGGACACCCCGAAACTTGGTCATCTTGATTTGGTACCCAATACACGACTCATCATAGCTACTATAGATAGATAGGTAGGTGGGCCTTTGAAGGGGATCACTTGTTGATAAGAGGCAATAAACTAGCTCTTTCTCATTCAGGGAGATTTACAAGAAATTTAGAAAATGGTTGGTGGCACCCACCTTCACTTTTTGAAACTGATTTTAAAGAACGCTAATGCGTAGATACATACATAATACGTAGATCTTTGGTGGCGAATGAGATTGCTGTAGCATATAAAAACAATTAGCATAACCATTTTTAATTAAAAAAAATTAATTCGTCTCAGTTATTAAGCCTACGTCCAGTGTGGGTAGAATGCGGAAGGAGGTCGGAGAAGCTTCCCAATCTTTTCTCAAAAGTGCTTAACATATTTTCATGGGCTTAAACTCTACAAGCTAGCGGTTGCAACAAAAGGAATAGTTCAGAGAAGTCAACCATTTCATTTGTGCGTTCCAGTATCACGGAGGAAAACTTTTGGCGGAACTACTTCTACCGCCTGTCTCTGATCTGCCAGGCCAACGAGGCTGACGCCGCAGCCGCTAGCCGTCAAGCCAGCGCTGACGACTCTCAGGGTACGTATACCTTACATCGTGAACTTAAATATTTTGTCACTTCAAAAAACTTAATACGTAAAGATACACAGAGACATACGTTGCGAGTGTTTCTCTTCTCGCACTTCTGAAAAACGACCAACGCCCAAAACAACCACATTAATTTATCAACGTTAAGCCAAGTGCTCACACGAGCCACATGATGGCTATGTTGAGATTTACGCGTAAATGACTTTAACTCAGCGAAAATGGCGTCCTACGCACGTCTTTCGCATTTACAAAGCGAACTTTGCTTAGTTTATTTTAAGCCTATGTGCGCACGCGTCGTGTCTGCAAGATATGTGATAACGTTTATGATCACGTGAAATTTTGTAGATTGAAATCTATAGTCAGTCTTTTTTGAACATGGAATAAAATGACAGTTGATTGTGTAAAAATGTTGTCCGTTTACAAGCAGCTAGTAATTGCAGTCGATGAATATTCTATCGACTATCTACTGAATGTTGGTCACGCTTATGCAATAAATAGCTGAACTTGTCTCGTTAGAACCATCATCGGCCCATTATTCGTCCATCCGTTGGGCACAGGTTCAACTGCGTTTAGAACAACGTCTATCAAAAATACAAAAACGAGACATATTTTAAAGTTTCATAATTTCAATTCAATGTAGGTAATCAAATCCGCCTTTTCATATTAAAATGTGTATGAATAAAAATTGATTTCGGTTCTAATAAACCAACTTTTAAAATAAGAATAAATTATGCAATAACGCAATTACCTAGTTATCATTGTAACTTTCACAATTCAGACATTTTTGGCAATATTTTACCGTCTTTCGCAATGTATCGATAAAACTGCCGACAATAACTGCAGGACTATATTATAAGATGTTATGAAAACTGGCAACCCTGCAATGTCATTATACTCCGTCTTCAAAATAGATTATAGTCGTTGTACAGGTTTTTTTTCTTGTTTCGTGGCTTTTCTTGGGGCGTTGTTCGCCAGGGTCAGAAGCATATGAAACGATATTCACGACGCCATTCTCAAAATATTCTTACGTTACCTTATCTACTACTTACACATTCAAAGAGACCATTTTTGTGTTTTCAGTCCCAATTTATGTTTATCACTATCATCAACCTGTAGTATGTTCCAATAATGGGCATGGGTCTTCTTTAAGGAGAAGGTTTAGGCCTCTATGCAAATTGGAGACTTTACACATTTTCCAAGAGTTGTGAACTTTTGTTCGACAAGCAGCGTTCATTATTGTCTATTCCTTCATCGTAGCGAGAGGTATAGCTACTGAACATTTCCAAATATACTTGACTTGACTACCGCCGCTGTTCAGAATTGAAATTACCACATTATGTAAAAACGAATCCATCATTATTGTCACGGACCCATTTTGTTTCCTCATTTTGTTTAATGTTACTTTATTTCATTTCGATTTTGTTTCTTTCAATTCAACCAGACGATAAATCTTCAAGTGACAGTCTGATCGCAAAAGAGCGGTCGTCGCAAGAGTCCATCGAGGACGCGAAACAACGAATAAAGTCGTTGAAAGTCGATAGAGAGAACGACGATGGTAAGACCGCTGGACAAACGTTTGATACTGTTTAACCACTGTTTAGAACACGCTTGGTTTCCTACTAACCACTCTACTCGGCAAGTATTCAAGTACTTAATACAAATTGAAATATTCACTTGAATACCGATAACTTTTTAGTGTTTAGCGGACAAAAGGGACTCCGTCAATGTTGACGCCGTACTTACCGGATTCGATTTTCCTTTACTATTATTTACCTAGTTTCATTGCACACATAGCCATATTATTTAGTTTGCTTTGTTCCCATGATTTGTAACACAACCGCCACACACGTACCATCGACGAATTAGATATAAAAGTGTATTTGGACAAGTCTTACCAACTTTGAGGAAAAAAAATACATTGTAATGAAGGCTTGCATGCTATCTCACATTGTTACATTTACTCCGTTCCTACGTAATAATTGGAACACGCACGAATTACTAGTGATTCATTTTTGTTTATTTAATTAGTTTGGCAAAACAGAGGATTCCCAAATTTTGTTTCTCTTTTCAAATACGATTTTCGCAGGGACGCAAATCTATATAGATAATAGCGGTGTTCATGAATTGTTGCTAAAATTACGGTTTTTTCCCCGGAATGCAGCTTAAGCAAGAGCACGGACATCCGGCAGGCATCCGCAGTCACAATTATATTACACCATAATATTGTTGGTTTCCATATGTTATCCACGTAGTATTTAACATTTTAATCATTACAGTAATGACGGCTTAACACGTACTTTTTAATGGCACATTAATCGATTGTATTACTTTCATGCAGATTATGATGATTTCTGGCAAATGTAGAACGACAAAGAGCGTTTAGGAATCTGTAACTGTGTACCAGCAAGATTTTAGAAAGTAGGTAAAACGGTGCGTGGATAGCTTATAGAAAGAACTGACAATTTCGATAGGCCCACAATTTCAAACGTACCGTTGCGTTGAACCCACGCCGATTGCTAATCGGGAGGTGGAATACGGATCGATTGGGCAGCTGCAGCAAGAAACGCTGGACCAGCAAATCAGACTCTGCAATCTCTCCAGAGTTTGGAGACAGTACGCTCGAAATTGTCAGGCCCTAGTCCGTACAAGAGGGTTGCATTAAGAATGTATCACGCGTTGTAAGGAGATGTTCTAATGCCATGACGCATCGCGTCGCGGGTGCCGTACTTAAAAACGCATTTTCGCTTTATTTAAAAGCTTCGTTATTTGGTGATTTCCCTCTCTACGGTCAACATTATTGTTTGTAACGCTTTGTTTACTTGTAGTTATGGCATTATTGCGTCAAGCTCCGTTACCGTGTCACTGTTAATCCTCTCACTCGTATTACTTTTGGTATTTGTAAGATTTATGCCTGTTTGCAGTTCCTTTGGTTTTTTTATATAAAATTATTAACCTATATCACTATGGAGTCATATCTTCATCCTTGTTGTTAACTCGTGTGTCGTATACCTACAATTAATAAATGTTTTGTGACAATATAACTTCTTTGTCCCCAAAGATATTTAAATGACGTACAATTATATATTTACTTATTAAACTTGTTCTTGTTTTAACGATTGTTGTATCTGACAGTACGGCCTGTGCTTCAATAGCTAGGTACGCAATACACTGTGCTCGCCTTTATTGCTTCTCCGAGTCCGCTTGGTTAACCAAAGCAGCACTCTGTTACGTCGGCTGTTGAAGTAAAGTCCACCAGCAAAGTAAACTGTATTCACATATTTATATATCGAAATTCAAAATACTTCCCTAATAGAATCTATCTTATTTATGTATGTCTACTGTTACATATATGTCTAAGTGCTTATCTGTAAGTTGACACACATACGTCACACCGTTCATACGATTCGGCTCATTAAACTGTAAGTGTTTTCATTGTTCAGGTTTTGACATTGCTACCCCAAGCGAATCTCACTTCCGCTTTCAGTCTCGTAACGGCTTCAAGTGTAGGTCGGTTTTTTGTTGTTTTTCTTTATCTACCTGCTTCTATTTCTCAAAGTTGGTGACGACTCCTTCGTTTTGTTCCATCTCCTATCGCGTAGCAATGTTGAAACTTACCTATTTTGTACGTACACTGTGTTGTCAGATGGAAAAGTTTCCCGGTATTGCTAACGTGGTCCGGGACGAGCGCGGGAACGCACCAGTTGCGACATATCACTTATGGGTGACAGTCAATTATGCCCAATAACTGCCGTCTGGAACCTTGTCGCTGACAACACACTCTCCTTTTGTTTTGTGACATTATTTACAATTAGACTAGGACGTCAATATTATCTTTGCGGAAGTATTCCAGTGTTATAAATGTAGACTATAGTTGGTAATATAACTTATCTTACTTGGGAAGTTGACGAAAGTGGCGACTGGCCTAGCACGCTGTCGCGTCTCTGGCGTCGACGGCTTGACCAGGACCGTGAGCGACGCACTTGTCTGTTATTGGTGTCGTTCAGGTATTTAATCTATAGAAGTTAAACTCACCTTGACCTAAATAATCTGGCTACCGTGTGTTTTTAATCATACAATAATATAATTAAGACTTAGAGTCCGTTTTGTGGTTAACCTTCAACGCAGTAACATTTTCTTCATTGTCCAAATCTGTTGTGTACCTTTTCACTTGGTTCAGAGTGTCGTAACGACAATAGTTTCTCGTTATTTAGTTCCTAAAAGTTTCAAGATGTATCTAGTTGGCAATTTTTCATAGACGTAACATTTTTCTTAATTGAACATTGTTTAGTGAAATACAACGTGTAGTTATTAAATGAAAATTGGCATTTATAGTTAGTTATTATGAATTGAAATAATTATATTATTCTAAAATAACATTGGACTTGTCATTTGACCGCATCTTTTTTGGTTCTTCCTTTACGAAAGTATATTTATATTTTAAGTACCTATTACACTTTCTTGGTAATCACAATGCCTATTACAAATATTCAAGTGTAACCCGATGATCTAATTTACAGTTCCATTGTTTTAAAAATCAAACTTTGACAAAAATATTTTTGTTTTGGTCAACACGCTTCACTTCACGCTATGTCGAAGGATTATGTATAAGTACATTGTACATGGAATGAGCAATTCATTCTGCGGTTTTGAATAATAATTTCTTACACTTACGAGAAAAAAATAACTTACGTTTTGTATAATCTGCTGGATCAAAATATATTTAACACACATATATTTAACGTAGTGTGTCAAAGTTAGCAGTTATGCGTGTTGACCAAATTATTCTACGGTTTTACAAAGTTGCATGTCTTGTATATAACTAATGCACCAATCGTATTCGGGCGGTTTCAGAGCAATGGGAGAAGGAACTGGAGGCCGAACTGAAAGAGTACGAGGTTGTGGCAGAGAAAACAGCTGACGAAAAGTGGGAGAAGGAGTGCGAGGACCTGCTGGGAGATGAAATGGACCTCAAGTAGACCAGCAAATTTGATTCTGTTCGTCAAATCGTGGGCGTATCCTGAAGCCTAAGAAATTTTTCGATTAAAAAATACAGTTCAGGCTTAACCACTATCTTGATGTTATTGACACAAAACAAGTCAATTTCGTGAGGTACAGGAATAGTCTGCATTTCCAATATCAATTTTAATGTCAGCTTTGGCTATGGCACTGGATTTTCTGTACATCGTTGACATTAATGCACCCTTTTGAGATCCTGTGCTGCGAAGTGTAGGATATGCCCACGATGAGGCGCCGCAACTTCCATTAAGAACAGACAATTTCATTGACGTCATCGTCGATGCAGCTAGCATTATTGGAGTGCGCTTTTGCGAATGATTACCTAATTAAAATCATGGCATTACATATTTACAACGCGAATGTTTTGCAAGTATTTGTTTCCTATGACTGTACAAGTTTTTTTTTAATATCACTCGGCAGTTGTGGGATTCCCGAATGGACCCGAATGCAAATTTCTATATCGGGTAATTATTAGATTTGTCACCTATAATAATTTGTACCTATAAAAATGTACCAAGCAATTTAACAAAAATATAACCTAAATAAAGAGTAGTAATAGTAGTCCGGTCTGCAACAAGTGCAAAGGGCATCGAATGGAAATCCGATCATAGCCGAGGAAACACGAAGATTGCCGAGATATTCAAGGTTTTATAAAGTTTGCACCAGATTTGCGCCGGTGACATCGCCATTATTGGGTAATTTATAGATTGGGTATCATCCCAAAACGTTTACTTGTCGGTGACAAAGAAATGTCAACCTTCAGTAAAAATAATAAAACACTCTCGATTACATTCAAATAAGCCACATATTTGTTCCATAGCGTGGCTACCAACTTGCTACTAGTTTTAGAAAAATTCGTGACGTCTGTTTGTTTCCTTCCGTGGCTTAGCGTGGCATCTAACACGTTGGTTCGAGTCCAGCCGGATCGAAATGGAATTTTTCTGAGTGTTCGATCTTTGTTTAGTAATAATTATAACAAACCAGTGGAGTAATTTCACAAAATTAAAATCACGGTGGTCGAACGTCTTGACATTCAATAAATACTTAATGATTTTGGCATCCCTAAACGAACAACCATAATCGTGTTCGTTGGAGACGAAATCATCCATTCAAATGTGCATATCCATCACGGCTGAGTCGTGCGTCTGGTGGTAAGCTCAGAGCTTTAAATTGAGACGTGAATTGACAAGTCCCAAGTCCAATTTCACCACCAAAATGTGATTAGGAAAATCTTGCATTGCCTGCGGCCCAATTCTGCAATTTTTTTAAACCACTGATTGTAATTCCATTGAGATTACATTGCAGCTACGATTATAGACATATTTGCTACTCTGTTAAAATCTAGTTGCAATGGCAGTTAAGTATCAGTGGAATGTCAGCGATGGCATATCCATACATTCAATTATTAACGGTCGATGTTGCCGATCGTCGAATTTTGCTTAACAGTTGGTCACTAGAACCAACTTATCTCTGAGGCTCTATTACATTTCCACGGCACATAACATAATGTAGCTTATGCCAATTGTGTAACATAGAAATTAGATACGATGCGGTAGCCGCCGAAATTCCCGGAACTGCAAAATTCTCCGTAAGACGAGTGACCAGTTTTTTTTTTGGCTCGTATCTAGTTTGTACGTTACACAATTCGTTGGTCCAGACGAACAGGGTGTTATCTCAAAAACACATATTTTTCAGAAGAGCAAAAAAAAGAATTAAAAAGAATTTATTTAAAGCCTACACATTTAACAGTATTTTCGAATACTTCTTATTCAGTTCAGTCGTTTTGACAAAATCCTGAATTTGTTCACAGAGGTCAATTATCGTTTTGAACATAGAATATGTGTGATTCAGAGTTTTAATTAAACTATTCAAACGTATTACTTTTAAATGAAAGAAGGAATAATATTCAATTCGGTAAAACTTTGCGGAACGTAGTAGTATCTCAAAAAATTACTCTGTACTTATAGATTACCATAACAATTCAATGAAAAAAACATCGCAAAAAACCTTAAAATTCTTCGTTTTAGAAATAAATATTTTTAAAATACACTTACCTTATAATGAACACATGCTGTATTTTCGTTTTAATACCTGTTCAACGAACGACGTCGTCTTGACTGTGACGTCTTCGTGTGTAATACTGTATGCGACTGTGTTGCTCCATGTTTGGGCCCAAAACGTGCAAATAGTGCAGAGATACTAACCTGCCTCCCGCGCCATTTCACGTCCGCTTGTTATAAGACCTTGTTCTGTTGAACTCCGATTTTTTAAATAGGACTGCATTTTAAAGTAAAAAGTCCACATTTTTGAGTTGATGCTCTGTTCATCCAAGGCAACGAGTTGACATTAAGTTCATAGTGCTATGATTACAAAAAATCGTCCATATGATTTTAGTTATTAATAAAATTCGCTAAAGTGAATTCGGAAGTTGAAGTAACAAACATTAATAAATATGGAAACGCTCTGGGGCGCCCAATTTTTTTTCTTATGAACTTAGGTACATAAGTGTAATATGAGTTTTACCTTTGCCGTAGGCCTACTTCCCTGAGGCCCCTTTGAAGGCGTGTTTTAAACCACAATTTAAACTGGGTTATTTTTAAAATGCCAGCAACCTCGCGAGACAATGTTGCTAACATCATTAACAAGAACTTTTGTTCCATGACTTATTACAAAACATACATTTGTAAGTTTTTTTTGTGCTATCCGTTTTATCCGTTATCCGCTATTAAAATGCATTTATTTTTCTATGAAAGTAAAATTTGATGAATTATTAAAAGACATGGTTGTTGTTTATGATAGTAACTAAAAAATATAGAATGTAGTATTTAATAAGTAATCCTGTATATTGTATGGTTTTAAATTTATAAAACCATCCACTGCATGTGTACATTTCGATACCTCCAATTGCGCCAACTTTTTTTTTTGCTCATTTTCTATTATTTTTGTAAACAACCATACATATTTACTAAAGTTGAAAAAAAAAATCAAAATAAACGATTTTTGTGAAAATAAATTATAAAGATGCTGATAGCGACTAAAAAATTAAATTTATAAAACCCCGACGCAAAACAGTGCACTCCGAGAAGTCAATACATTCATTATCTGTAAGTTGTCGAATATAATGAGGCCAAACACAATACTAGTACTGTTAGTGGTCGAGTAGCTGGGTAGTTCGCCGACTGATCTGTCCTAATAGCAGCATCTGTTGCCATATCGTTGTAATGTATACGAAATTTCAAGTCGATCGGACAACTGGAAGTAATATAAATATTCATTTTATGACAAAATTCTCACACTGTCAGGCAACAAACATAAGAACCACCTCCACTAGATTGGCTATTAAATTTAAAAAAAAACTGCTTTAATAGTCGCCACTACCTCCACTCGAATTAAAATTTCTCCGTACTAAATCGGTTCTATTGCGCGGGTCTTTGACACTGGCTTTATTACAGAGTTTATTTTTTTACTAACGAAATTTTAAAAAAATCTGTATATGTGGTTAAAAAAGAACATTCCCTCCTGCCTTCGTGGCCGAACGGTTACCATGCCGGACTGCCACGCAGAGGTCCCAGGTTCGATTCCCGGGCCGGGCGAAGTATTTGTATGACCTACATTTATTTCTCTCGTGAGTTTGGGTGTAATTTGTGGTTGTCTATGTGTGTGTCCATGGCACCCGCGACACAGGGTTTCCCTAGTGCGGGGCTATGTTGAGTGTGTGCGGTATTATTATTATTATTATTATTATTATTATTATTATTATTATTATTCCGATTCCTATGACGCAACTTTGTTCGATCGACATCGTCTCTTAGAACATTGATGATATAATTCTGAATTCTGACTCATGTAAATTACTTGTGAAGTAAATTCGTGCCAAAATAATTACGTGATACAACCTAAACAAAATTAAGTTCCCAGTGCGTGATAATAAGTTGGAGACAATATGTATGTAGAATTTATGTTATAATTACCACCCCTTTAATAGCACATAAAGTCGGCAAGGAGACAATTACAAACGAGGCATAACGATGGTTTTTAATTGTTTTTCCGCTCGTGTGACATACAATGTCTTTCATAATACTTGCGAGGAAATTTTGAATAAATGAGACAAAAGCAGTAATTTTCACTCGTCAAACAATGTAAGGATTTAGTTGGAGACGTGTTATTATCGCGTATGTGTTTTCAAATTGTCGTTATTAATAAACATGTCGTATGAAAATAAATTATAAAATACTTCGTATTACGGATAATAGTAATCAATCTTTAAAATTTTATAAACTTTTAAAATAAAAAGTCATAAAATATTGTTTTAGCATAAAAACTCTTTTTGCTCAGGCTTAAGATTAGTTACAATTGCAGACATGCAATGTTTGCGGTGTAAATAAAAAAAAAAGAAAAAACCAGCTCACTGTTAATGCGCGTTAAAATAATATTTAGGAGCAAATATCATTAACGTATATTCAGCGCTTATGATAGGAGATTTTTTTGTATATTAAAATACGCCTTCGAAGAATGCTGTGGCTTCAGTACTACTCATTAATGTGTTTTTTTTAAATTAGCGTTACTAAAAGCTTATCTTTAAGTTTAATTCACATTGCCGCGGAATGCCGATGGTTACAGCAAATTTTTGTAACCATACGGTTAATGATGAAGTTTTCATCACACTTGCACGTAAATAGTATGATTGCATGCAGGCTAACTTGACTATAATGCCCCAAATTAAAGCCTCCGGCCTTTTGCTTCTCATTACAGCCGTCGTCGGTAATGAGACGAAAAAGGCCCGAGGGTTTTAAGTTGATAACGACTCCACGCATTAACTGCAAGCATGCAGTCAATCTGTTAGCAACCTAAGTCATGCATAGTGGGAAAACGGCCTTAATTACGGTGTACGTGCTTTGAGAGTAGGGCCCTAGATACGAGCCAAAGAACAGGTCGCTCGTCGTACAGAATTCTCGCGTACTCTTGGAAATTCCTGCAGCTACGGTATATAGTCTGTTCGTTATAATTTACACTTTTGTTCGAGTATCGCCACCATTGCAACGGAACCAGTTCCGTCAATGTGTAGCTTGATGCTTTGCCGTCTATACAACTTAGTTACCAAAATTAGCTTCTATTCTATTCCGCGGCAACGTAAATTTAGCCTTAAGGGCGCGTTCCCATTATGTCGTGACGACAGATGCCGTGCAGTTTAAAGTGTCCTGGCTTGTATATTTAAATGAAATTGTTCACATTTAGTACAACACGATTAACTTTCGTTCACGACTATTTTGTCGTTAAGACGACCGACTGTCGTGACAATGGGAAGAGCTAGAACGACAGTCGTCTACCGATAAATAAAACAATCACAAAAAAATATCAAACGATTCTGTCGTGCAAACGACAAGGCGGCTGCCGTGAACCGATAAATTGTTGTCACGATCTAGTGCGAACAGCTAGACACGACAGTCGTTCAACGATAAAATAAACGTTCACGACACAGTCGCGACAGATAGTCGTGTTGTTGGAACAAGCTAGACGCGACAGTCGTCAACCACACACACACATAGGGACTTCCTTATATTCTTAATATTAGGGTGAGTGGATTTCAAAATCGTCAATTGTGTAACCAAAGATATATTAGACTATTCAAATTGTCTATAAGAATATATTGAATTTGACAAAAACAGCTTAAAAAAAGATGGTATATCAATTAATTAATTCAGGCAGCTACCGTTTTGAAGTTCGCCTATCGATTACTACCATTTTACTTTAAAACAAACTTTAAAAGTTATAATATAAATAACAATGCTCATTATACCAAATTTCTTATTATTATCAAGTGCACGGTGTTGCGAGAAATAATTTAGTAACGTTTTCGGTCGTGTTATTGAGTACTCTTCGGTATGTGAGAACTTTAGACTATAGCCTATCCACTTGATTGGTCAATTTCTTATTAGTACAATGCCATATATAATGTTTACTTCCATGTGTGACGTAATAATAAAACTATTTATGAATAAATAATTTATTTATTTTGAATAACAATTCCGGAGCTCTACAGTAAATAAATAATATTTATACAATATGTGATTTTATAAATTATCGAAGAAAGATAAATACGTTTATTTGTAAATAATTACAACCATTTAGAGTTTTAAATAATTTTAATGTTTTTGTTTATTAGTCTATTTAGTCTATGCGCTAAGATCTCACGCCATTTTATTTTGTAATTTTAATGTCACCGGCACAGTTATAAATGTATTCATTTTATTGTAGGGAAGTATACACCTAATTTTGTTTTGTTTTTTTTTGTAATATTTTTTGTTATAAGTGTGTATTGCATAGGCTCTTATATCTTTTAGTAAGAGCTGTATTATTAAGAGCTATTTTGCGTAGTTAACACGCGCCTTTCGGCACTTGACCGTGGCACCTAACTTTGATTCACTCTCTTACGTGTATGGGATATTGAATCAATCAGTAATTTTTTTCAAAGGCCGTATGTCATAAACTTAAGTGGACATTTACTTGATAACTACAATGTACTATAATGTCGTTCCATATTTACAACGCCATCAGTTCTAGCGACCGCGTAAAATGTTTCTTCTTGTGACCGCTAGGGGAGCTGTATAAATTGCCATACAAAGTGTTGTAATTTACGCGGTCTCTAGCGACAACTGCGTTCGTGGTGAAGGCAGTGATGGTCAAAAATGAAATTGGTAGTTGCGATCCGTTACAGTAACCTATTTATTACCATTGTCACATAAATCCCACATGAATGCAATTGAGAAAACACAACTTGAAAATAATACTTTATCTTTCTGGATTTTATTAAGTGTTTTCTTCAGGTATTTTGTTTTATTTATGTTGTTTTTGCTCGTCTGCGGAAGGGTTATGTTTTTCGAGTGTATGCATGTATGTCTGTTTCTATGTTTCCCTGTACAGCCTAAACGGCTTGATGGATTTTGACATATGAGGTGTCGTTAGATTCGTCTTGATTATGGGAGTGTCGTAGACTCTAAAAAAATTCAAAATAGTGCTGGGGAGTTAACCTTTTTTTTAATTTTTCAAGCTAAAAATATTTTTGCAGGCGGGTTTTTGTTTTTTCAATAATTTTTAGACTTGTTTCTAATGGGGCTAATATGTTCAAAATGATCAAAGCCTCTAAAGAATTAAAGAGTAAAAAAAAGAATACTGCAAGGACCAACTGCCTCCGTGGCCGAACGGTTACCCGGTTCGATTACCGGGCCGGGAGAAAATTTGTATGGCCTATATTTATTTCTCTCGTGAGTTTGGGTGTAATTTGTGGTTATCTATGTGTGGCCATGGCATCTGCGACACAGGGTTTCCCTAGTGTGGGGGCTATGTTGAGTGTATGCGTTATTATCATTATTATTATTATTATTGCGAATAATATATTTATTTTTATTCATACTGCTTACAATACTTAATTATCCATTTATAAACGAGAATATTGGTTTAATTCAGTATTTTTTTAAATTTTCAAATGTAGTTTTCTCAATTCTACAATTTTTAGTAACATCGTCACGTTTGGTTATGTAACACACAACAAAGAAACTGTTTTCAATCTTCATTAATTTGAACTTAAGGTGCCACAGTTAAGCGAATGAACTCAATGTTATAATGTTTAACAAGTCCTAGGCTAGTCGGTTCAATACGTGTAGATATAATAACGCGTTCTCCATGTAAACATTCCTGTAAGTACTTTGTCAAATAAAACTGTGTTCTATATAATATGCATTTTTGTTTTTTTTGTCTCCAGAAAAACTATTGAGGTAGGGTAGATTTTTGAAAGTTCATACCGGCCATGTTGATGAGGCTGCTTCTGTCAAATCTGTTGTTT